AGCATTTTAACTTTTGTATCAAAAGAAAAGGTTGAGACTCTTGAAGAAGACACCATCCGATTGAAGGTGGATCTAGCTTTCTTTTTCTTGCTAATTATAATAAGCTTTGTCTTCTTAACGTTTATATTGAGTCCATGTTATTGACTGTAATACGTGATTTTGTTCATAAGAACTTGTAGGTCTTCTAAGTTGTCAGCAAATACTATGGTGTCATCTGCATATCTGATAATGTTTAACCGGTAATTATTTAGTAGAATACCTTTTTTAGTTTCGTGCAAAGCTTTGATAAATACTTTTTCAGAGTACAGATTAAAGACAAGAGGAGACAAAATATAGCCTTGCCTCACTCCACGCATAATTTTCACATATTCGCTGTGTTCACCTTCAACTCTGAGGTTTGCTGTCTGATTCCAGTAAAGATTTCTAATTATTTTCAAATCTTGGTTGTTAATTACTGTTTCTTCTGGCATTTGCATCATCATATCGAGTACAGCACGCCAAGATGACGCAAATACCGAAGATAGTAGACAAAAACCAAAAATATCTAAGAAATTCATTTATTTGTTAAGTCTAGCTTGAAGACTGTTATTCCTGCTCAAATTTGCGGTACTCTGCTTGAAGTGACCATTTATTACCTAGCTTCTTGAGAATGTACAGCTCAGAAAAACTAAATAGATTTAAGGAAGTTTAAGTATCTTTTAGGACAAGAAGTTGATCCAAAAAGACTCTACGGTAGACGAGAAAACCTATCCGAACGCCATTTAACACATCAGATCTATTAAGTCACAATGCAAAAACCTTTATAAGACCAAGGACACCTCAATCTCTAATCTAAAAAGACTTAAAGAAAAAGACTTTTATATGCTGTTTGCGTATGTTTTTCCAATTTCAATGTTTTGATTGGTTCACAAGCTTCAACTTATCTTACCCTTACGTTAAAATTGTTGTGATTATTGTAGTTGTTAGGTTTGCTTACTTTTTCGATTTTACCTATAATATGCAAAAATTTGACATTGTAACGATTTGAAAAAAAGTAAAGTACCTACTTGTGTACAATCTCAGCCCAAACATTAAAGAACTTCTTCTGATAATAAGTTTAAAGAAATTTTTGATTTCTAATATTCATATACAATGAAAAATGTAATATACAATTTACACAAAAAAAAAACAATTATATACATATTTTACTGTATACAGAAATATATACATCTTTTTTATAATCAAAAAAGGAACAAATTATATATCTTCGTACGTTTTTATATGGATACAGTCTAAAAAATCACTATAAATGGCACCAAAAATTATAACAAAGAAGGAAAAAGGCTTATTTAATAATCGAGGTATTATAACTTTTAGTGCCCGAAAAAAAAAAAACTAAAAATAGCAGCACCAATAAGAAAAAAAACTAAAAATCGCCTCAACTAGTATTAATTTTTTACAAAATACACGTATAATGTAGTTTGTACTTGGTAAGCCTATAAAAAGCACTTTTAGGTTAACTGTCCATAAGCTATCAATTTTAATTCAAATCCAATACAGAGAAGAGTTCCTAGGTTAAATAAAGTTGTTAAGTTGATGGATGTGGAAAGCTTTGTAATTTGTACTTCGATAGAAACATTATATTTCACCTAGGGTAGGTCTCCACCTGCGATTTCTAGACGCGGTGATTAAATCGCTACTATAGTGCATCTTTAAGGTAATAAGTCATCCAAGTTTATCAATAGATACTATTGAATCTATGGAATTTTTTTTATTATTGCGTTAATGCCTCGATAACTAAGATCATTGGCATGGTACAGTCAGGTACCTAGTGTAGTGTGTGTGTGTAGAGTAATTGTCTTGCTAAGAAACGCTAATTGTATCCGAACGTCTGCGGTCCCTCCGGTGAGTACCGATCGCACAAGGATAGAAATTATTTTCATTTATTAATTTTTAATAAACGAAAACTTCTCCACCCAGATGAGATTCGAACTCACGACCTTTAGGTTTAAAGGTAGGCGCTCTTACCAATGAGCCACAGAGGGGGTTAATCTATAGAATTAAAACAACTACAAATTATACATTATTGGCAGTTATTTTGACAAGTCATTTGACAGTTATTTAAATATTAAAGTTTGCATCCTGTAAAATATTTTCATTTTTATGTAATGACAAAGTATAATTTTTACGAACTGTTTGCATCCTTTAAAATATTTCCATTTTTATGTAATGACAAAGTGTAATTTTTACGAACTGTTAAATGATTCAAAGTGGAAAGATTGTATCACAAACCAAATGAAAAGTAAAATTAATAAGCGATGAAATACAGTAAGATTACAGAATTCGTTTAAACTTTTTTGCCGCAGTCAAATCTTGAGCCTAATACATATCGAGAATGAATCGACAATTGACTTGATTGCTACAAATGACAAACTTCGCCCCATAAGTCATAATAGGCTCTACCAAGGTTCTATAGATTGTCAATTTCGTTTCTTGTCTAATATCTTTAGACAATAGTAGAGAGTTTAAAAGCTTTGCTGAGTTCTGTTTTCGATGTTTCTTTTGGTATTGCCTTCTTTAGATATTAAAGATCCGAGATATTTGTATTCATTGCATGTTTTTGTGTTTCTAATTTCTAACTCTAGATCTTCTTCATCATCGCCTATTTTAAGATACTCTGTTTTTGACATATTCATATAGAGGCCCCATTTTTCATACTCTTTCTTAAGTTTTCTAAACATGTAGTTCATGTCTTCCTCATCATTCGCTACGACTACCTGATCATCTGCGAAAAATAAAGTTGTTACATAAACGTCTTGTTTAAGCCCCTTTGTTAATGGAAACAATTTAGATATAAAGTTTCCTTCTTTAAAGACACTTCTTGCATTTTTGTATATATTTGAGATAGATGACAATTTTAAATAAGTAAAATGTGTCCTCTTAATTGAAGGAAAGCTGTTAGAAAGAAAATATGGCAATTTAAAAAAAATTATTTGCATTTCTCCTTTAGAATATTATACACTAATGATTTGCTATATCACATAGCAACAAGGCTTTTTCTAATGCTCATAAATTTATGTTATGACATTGAATCCTCGAGAGGATGTTTTGAAGAAGTAAAAAATGTACTGAATGTTGCGATCGAATTGCATGCTAGGAGAAAAATAAACATACCATAACAAGAAGAACTCGTAGAGAACTACAAGGAACCAAAACACTTTGAAGAGACGTAGAATCGGGTCACACTATTTTATTTAAAGCTACTGTAAATTCACAAATGCAAAAAGTTGCTTCGAAAAATATAATAATTTATATCTAACTAGAATGGATTGAAAAGCTTTAAATAACTAAATTAAATAATTCTTTAATTCCAAATTTTGTTTTTTGTTGAGTTTGTATTTTGGTTTAACATAGACCCTAATCTATATATAACACTTTCGTTCTATGTTTCTGGTATAGGTTATATCATTATATTGGGTAACTTAAACTGTTAACAGTTGTCAACGAGGCTCTATTTACTAATATTCACCTTCCATGTGAACAACTTTAAATAAGGAGCCCCACGTTGGGCGCCAATTGTAAATAGGAGAACGCTAGGCTTTCTCGTTTAATTATTTCTACTAGAAACTGCAACATTTATAACTATTAAAGTTTGCATTTGATTCTATATAAGATGTAAAGTAGTAAAATTCACTTATAACGTCCAAGTTTAACATAAACAGATGGATCAAATTAGGAAAAGCCTTAGCCCGGAGATATTGATATAAATGTGGTAAAAAACAACTTAAAAAAAGGAAAATCATTGTCAGCAATCTTTATTATTTTTCTGTTTTCAACCCAAAAGTAGATTGAGGCTATATACTCAAATACTATCAACACGATTCTTTCTTTACAACCCTGCGTGAGTCCAAATCTCCCCAAGAATTTCTCTCTAGTCATCTCTATCCATTCCATTCCATCCCTTCTAGGTTCTGGGTCTTTAATTTTTATCAAGGAGCATTTTTTAGCTTGGTTATTCTGTTTCATTCGCATTACATGCACTATCCACTTCAGAAGTCCTATCTTAACATGTTTTACAATGTCTGGTTCTTGGTATATTCTGTAAAGGTCAAAGTTATATCGTGATGTCAACTTTCTATTGTCATACACTGCTTTATAGATTCACAATAGTATTTTTTTTGGAAACATCCTAAAATTCTTTTATTACTGTTTGTTACAGTCCAGTTGTCTAAACCATATGTTACGACTGGGCGTATTATTGTTGTACATAGTGTTAAAATTTTTGTATTTCTCGATATAATTGACGATTTAAAAAGAAGATTAAGACCAAAGTAGCAATTGTTAGTCGTGCAAATTCTGCGGTTTTAAATAAGTAATAATATGTTTTAATTAGCTAACAATATTGGTAATATTTTAACCTTTTTAAGATTAAGGAAAGTTCCAGATTACAAAGCGCAACTTCAAAACAATAAATATCAGGACAAATTAATTGTTTAATATGTTTGATACTAACATAGGAACTATTCTTAAGAAATTAGGCATTGCTGAAACTATTTTACATTTAGAAATGGCCAATTTTTAATTTACTTATTAGGAAACATTTTTATGAGCTTTATCTTTTATTGCAAAAACACCCCGTATATGAGATACCCGCAAATTCACAGTAAAAAATTCTTGAACAACAACCGAATTCACGAGTATCTCTATTTTGAAAATATTTTCTGTCCTGAAAGGACGCTATAGACAATGTAAGAAATTTAGTTCCACAAGGGTCTATCACAGGTCCATTATGTTTACAACTGCCACATAAAACGTCGTTTCAGGTAAAATTAGGTTCTCAGATTTGATAACCATATGTTATGTTATATATCTTGGATTTAAAGAAAATAATTTGGTATTAAAATTACAAATTTGTGAAATAAATATTTGAGATTCTTCATATCGTCAGAATAATAGATTCAATTAATAAAATTTGTTCTTAAGTTAATAAAATATGAGTTAGCCACTATAGGCCACTACGAGTTTTAATCTATAGATCTAACCGCAATCATCATGTTTAAAGTTAGGTTTCGGCAACAGAAAAAACGATAGCTAAAAAGCTTTCAAAGCGACAGAAAAACATTGCAAATGGTTTTAATGAACTTTTACCAAAAATATCAACAGCTTTTAATGCTCTTCACCATTTTTAAAGCTTTTCGAAAGCTTTACAGTGCTTTTTATAAATGTTAAATACCTTTAACTAGAAACTAATACTTTTCAATGTTCTTTCGACGCTTTTAACGATTTTTAACTTCTTGTACAAGAAGAAAAATTTGAAAACTTTACCTGTTGACTTAACCTTAAACGTGTTGGTTGCACTACCATTAAAGATGCAAAAATCAAACTGCACTAAAGTGGATACCCATTTTATTACGAGTGAATAATAAATCTGAGAACCTAACTCGATAATTACCAAGAGTAGACATCTAGAGTACGGAATTAAAACAAATTATATGGCTTCCTAACGTCACTACTTATCATTATCTTCACTTTGCTTGACATCTAGACCATTTACCATTTTTTCTATGCTTTTCAAATCACTAGGAGAAGTAGCCGCCTCCGGTTTCGGCGACGTCGTATTTGGCCTTAAAGGGGGCGATAGAGAACCAGCTCGTATTTTGCCCGATGGGGAATTGCTGAGGCTTCTGGTGTGGGAACTAGGCGTTACAGTCTCAAAAGCACTGCCAAGAGGTGAGGAACTTACTCCAGTGGTTGAGTTAGGTAATGTGTATGGCGCAAATCTGTGTCCTGCTTTTAGGTGGTTGTGAATAGGTGAGGTGGGAGACAAATGGTGACCGTGTGGGTTCGGATGTGTCAGATTCTGGTAGTGCGAAAACAAGGCAGGATGCTGTGCTGCCAAGGCTAACTGAGCGTTAAACAGTAAACTAGGATTCATGCCGGGATTGTGTGCTCCCGTGAATATGCTCAAAGGTGGCCCGAACGGCGAGTGACCTGCAGCTCCAGGATACATTCCAGGAGGGTATAGGTAAGGAAGTAAATGCGGTGGAGGGTGAATCGGCGGACCGACGCTAATATTAGGAGAGGGATATTCTCCTGATGGGTTTGATGGTCCTGCGGAATCTTTTGGTGACGTCGATTGTCGAGGGCGAAACGCAGTACTACCTGGTGATTCGGAACAACTACTTTCAGAACCTGAGTCGTCGTGAAGACGTCTTCGAATCGAGTCTTCTTCGGTACCTGAAATAAAATAAGTATGTTAGATGTGTCTAAATTAAATTGAACATTTTTTTTATGTTTAAATAAGTGTTTGTAGTTTTTAAATAAATAAAATGATCATCGACAGTTACCTGATTGATTTAAAGATGAAGCTATAGGAGTAGAAGAATGTAAAGATGGTCTAGGACTATCGGCAGTACCAACTACATCCAATTCCGAGTCATCAGTTTTTGAAACAGTACTACTATCTGCAGACATCCTAGCTGGTAGAGGATGTGATGTCTTGTCATCTGAGTGTCTTTGTGCCAGCATGGCCTGTCTGTAACAATAGATAGAATAAAATTATAAAATTTGATGTTCAGATATCGGGTTATTTAAACTGAAATTTAAGTAAGAAAAAAAATTTACATAAAATACTGACTGGCCTATTATTTTGGACCATATATCTAGTGGCCAATTTGAGAGTAGTGGACAGATTTGTATACTTCGACTTTCTGATAACCAACCATAGCAATAGCTCCTCAAAATTAAAATTTAAGAATATTTCGAAGAGATTGAAAACAAAAAACCCTTGTAAGTATTGACAAAACACCTATACAGCTATTTGAAAATGACATTTTTTTCTCTAACGAGATAAACAAATAGAATTGTTTAAAAACTGCTTGACCGATCGGGCCGATCTTTCGCAAATATAGTAACTGTATAAAAACTCACATTGTGAAATGTGTTTTAAACATTTTTATTGTTTGTTCCTTTGTGTACTGGTGGGCTAAGCGTTAAGACACATTTTAAACAATTTTTATGCTGCAGCTTGGTGTTTCTTGCGCTTAAATACGTGGAGTGTTGAGATCCTCTCTAACGACTTGCACATCAAATTTTGTTTCGGTGACCGTTGGTAATATTTTTATAGTGGTATGTTTGCAGTGGCTTAGCACGTGATTAATGATGCTGTAATATTTATCAGTTTTTCAAGATTTTTAATAAAATAACCGGTATTTTAGTTTTAGCAAAAAAAACAAAGATAAATAGTTTTAGTTAATAAAAATAGCAACAAAGAACATCAAAACTATTTCATCTTTATATTCCAAAACTAAATATCCTATAGACAAAATAGATCAAACAAATGTAGTATACAGCATTGTTTGTACTCAGTGTGAAGCTGAGTATATTGGTGAGACTGTAAGAAATCTCTCAAATCGCATTATTTCTCACAAGAGTGAGTGTAGAATTAAGAAACCATCTTGTGCTTTGGCAGAGCAGGTAATAGACAAAGACCATATTATGGATTTTGATAATATTAAAATTTTATGTAGTGAAAGTAATAAATTTAAAAGAACTTTTTGGAAATGGTTTGTATTAGCAAAAGTGATGATAATTTAAACAAAAGGTCAGAAATTCAAAATCTAAGCAAAATTTATAATTATATTATTTCTATGTAATTTATATATGCAGTCAGTAAAATATCACATTTTGAATTTTCCATGTATTTGTTACATTTTTTCGGGCATCTATCAATGGTGAATAAATCTTCTTCTGTTTTGTTACTAAACAAAGAAGAATTTTTTAAAGAAAATTTTATTTTTGACAATATGTCAAAAATAAAAACTTTTAAGTTAGTATTTATGACATTTAGGCTGGTTTGTAGCTATTCAAGTTTTGTTTACAAATTCAATTGTTTTTGTTAAGAAACTTCATCAAATTTTTCAGAGAACATTTATTAGAATAAGACATTTTTTTATTAATATTTTTTGTAATTAATATGTAAGCAGTAGTTTTATATAAAAAACTAATTTTATTTGGTGAGTTAACAAAAAATTTTTTATTTCTAGTTCAACTTTGTAAGATATTTTGTATTTTTTAGAAGCTCTTGATAATAATTGTAATCACAATTGAAAGCTCGAGTAAAAAATAGTCAACAAATAGCCCCTTTTATTGACTCCAACCCATCAAAAACAGTTTTATATTTTTTCCAAACGAGTCACAAGTACTTCTTTTTTCTTACTCTTATATATATATATATATATATATATATATATATATATATTATATAGATATATATATATATATATATATATATATATATATATATATATATATTATATAAATATATATATATATATTGTAAGATTGCCCATGACAAAAATGTAATTAAACATTAATAAACCAGCCTTTTAATTGTAAAAAAATCGTATAGGAGTCACATTTTTTTGATGACATTCCCTTTAAATCCTATCTTGAATATTTTTAACAGCTATTTTCACATGTCTTTTTGCAATCTTAATGATTTATACTTTTTTTTGTTTATCAATGTATCATGAAAGTTTAAGCTATATTACTAATTACAGTAATAATCATAAGAAATATCTCAAAAGTGTACATAATGATGAAAAAAAAAGTTGTTTTTGTTTTTTGCGTTTTTTGAAAACATTTGCCATAGTAATGTATATTTTTTTACACTATCGGAAAGTAGAAATTTTAATAAACAAAAAGCCCACCGACTTTTTAAAAAAAGCTGATATTTTAACGCATGAATTTTCGATTGAAAATTAGGATGCTTTTTCGATATTAAATAAATATCAGGTAAAAAAATTTATTTTTCAATTCTAAAAAATTAAAGTGTGTTTGGTACATACACAAGGAGTTTTCACCAAATTTCGTAAATTTTTTTTTTTAAAGATAAAAATAAAAACCCAAAAACTTTTGAATTTGTTTTTAAATTTTCCACAAAAATTTTGAAGTTATGTGAAAAAAGTGTAAATACAAAAGTTGTAGATCTTTTTATTACCTACAACTTTGCTATTCAACTTTTTTCCATAGCACTTGTAATTTTGCCGAAAATCGCGATAAACCGATTTTTACCCTTAAAAGTCACCCCCTCCCACTTCCCGAACTCGGATCAAGTGGAATTTATTTTTTCTTTTATGTTTAGCATATTTTCTTCCTTTTCCAATAGGTTTCATGCTACTATAATTTTTTTTGTTTTAAAAATTATCGACCCTAGTCTAAATACATTGTTATTAAAAATAACGATTTTATATAAAAAAAATCAAAAAACCTGTTAAAAGTTAAAAAGAAATAATGCCGGCGTCAAAGGGTTATTTCAATAATTATAAACAATTTTAAAAAATGCTTAATTTTGGTTTTAATGTGCAATAACTTTTTTGCTTACAAACATTTTTTGATTTAGAAAATCTCATTTTAAAAAGCAAATACTTTTAAGACAGTCGTATTTTGAACGTTTTCATCTACAGTGCGTAATTTTTTCACATTAAAATGAATGAAAAAGTCGCTTATTTGTTAAAATATTAATAAAAACCTTGTTCCAGTAAAAATTTCGATACCCACAAGATTAGTCTTCCGCAGTAATATTAGGGATTGTTGTAGGATTCGAATTTTGTCTTAAATCATGAAATTGTTAATCAAGACTACGTATTCTAAACACGCGTTTTATATTCGCGATCGCTCGTAATTGTAAGCCAATTTGGGAACCGCAAAAAAACAAAATTAATCTACAACCCCTTACAGTCCAAACAGTTGGTCCACTAATGTATGCATATCACTTACTGTAAATGCAAATTTGATACACCCACCAAGCGGCGAAAGCCGAAAGCAGAGGGCTTATCACCCTTTTTGACCTTCTGCAAATGCCACCGCTAATTTGATAGTGTTAAGCCTTATTGTCACCCTCTGTGTCTTTATTTCGTTCGCCTTTTAATTTAAACTTTTCGGAGAGAAAGAATAAGTTACTTGACGGAATATTTTATCGTTGGGAAAAGCGGCGGAACTGTAATAGCATGAAAATGCAGAAAAGAAGCTCGCTGTTCGGGATTAGGGGGTGTAAAGATCGGTTTTGGGTTGGTTGGAAGTTAGTTGAGATAATGCTGGGTCATTCTTGCGGTTTAAGGAAAATTTTACGAACGAGCTACGGTCCTAAATTCTTACGTAATGATTTTTGGATTTAATCTATACGAAACTAATAGATTTCTTTACACTATCTTTTTATTGCTCAGCAAAACTGTATACCACAAATAGAAAATTGTTAACATATTAGCACCAATAAGATATGGGAAGTTTTTGTAAAAAGAGCCAAAAATCAGTGCTGTTTATAAATATACTCAGTGACATTAGAAATGTTACACCCATAAGGAATAATTTCTTGTACTTAATTTTTTGTCAACAGAATGACTATATTTAAAACATGCTATGATAACAATATCTACCAATGTTTTATATTTTCTACTTTTTGTAAGTAAAGTAAGTAAGATAAAAACAAAGTTTTATCTTTAATTTTTTTGTGAAGGGACTGATTTGTGAAAATCGGTTAGTATAGAAATTATTATTCCTCAGTATAATTGTATTCAGTGTAAAAAATGCCTCGAGTTCGAAGATATCAAAATTGCCACCATGTTAGCGATTTTGAGAGGGGTACAATTATTGCGTATAGAGATATGGGTTTATCGTATTGCGATATTGGCCGTCGTGTTAATTGTACGGCAATGACGGTTATGCGTGTTTGTCGTGGGTGGATAAAAAAAGATAGAGGAACACGAAAAAGACCAACTGGTTAACCGAGGCGTACCACAGAGCGTTAAGATAGGCGCTTTAGACTAGTTGATGACCAATAGTTTGGAGTAATAGGTAGACCTGTTAGTATGCGTACATCATACCGTCGCATTCGAGCCTTTGGACTAGTTTCATTCCGCCCACGACTGGTGCTTTCTTTGACTGCGGACCACGGTAATCAACGTTTGAATTGGTGCAGAGAACGGCAGCAATAGGTGGCAGAAAGGCGTAATATAGCATTCAGTGATGAATAACGATTCTGTTTAGAAATGCATGATGGTCGTAGGATGGTAAGAAGCCGCCGTGGGTTTGCTGTTGAGAGGCATGTACACGGGACAGTTGGAGTAATGGTTCGGGGAGCTATTGCCTATCGTAACCGGTCATCATTTGTGTTTATTCGAGGCAATATGACAGCTGCGCGTTATGTTGACATCTTATAAACTACTTTACTGTTCTTATTCTATTCTTTTTCAGCAAGACAACCCGCGTTCTCATATTCCTCATCAAACTATGAACTTTGTACAAGAAGCTGGCGTTAATCTTTGCCGTGGCCGTCCCGTGGTCCGGATTTAAATCCTACCGAAAATGTATAAGATATGATGGGAAGGAGACTATCCGTTTGCACCATCCTCCATAGACTGTGGCACAGTTATTACATGAAGTTCAAGCTGCTTGGAACGAGCTGCCACAAACAGTCATCGATCATTTTATTTTGTCAATGCCTAGACGTTTACAGAAGTGTATTTACCTATGTGGTCGCCA